TTCGTATTAAATAAAATTTATATCAAGAACAGAAAAATATGAGTTATCACCTACACTGTAATTTGGAATCATTTTCTACTTTACAGAAAGAGATTGATAAAAGCCGAGCGCTACCTTCTCTTTCTCTTTCTACACCTCACAGAAATAATGAAGAATAAAAGACCTTGAAAACCACGATAAAAAAGCACGCTTAGGTAAAAATCCGGCTAAAAAGCCTTGCAGAGTTCTGGCAAATTAATTTCGAAGAGAAAATTGTCATGGAATTTCCAACTTTTATAAAAGCTTCAGCCATTTTCTGGGTGTTTAGAAAATGTTGATTTTCTACTTTACAGAAAATCCGCTGGATTTTCTATGAATTGACTTTTTTCATTTGCCAGAAAATCGATAAGGAGTTTCTAAAATGTTGGAAAAAACTTTTTTTGAAAGCTGGTCTAGTTTAGAACTTCATTCGGCGAAAGTTTCAAGTCGAAATTCCAGGATATGATTTGGCTGAAAAACTGGGGTTCTCTAGCGAAAATTCACTAAAATTTTCTATGTCTCACCAGGAACAAGGTAATGGGACGAATCCTTTTAGAGTTTTTATCTACACTATGATTCCTACCTATGAGCAAAATATCAGCTCAAACGGAGTGTATCAGTTGGTGAGGTTTCCTCCTCAGTAAAAGAAGAAAATACAGCATATCTTCTGTCAAGAATAGTTTGAGTACAGGAAAAAGAGATCTGATGTACTTACTTGTGTAGACGACGAATGAAACATTTGGCATCTTGGTAGATCGATGCTACCACCACTGAATTTGGAGGAGCTCGTCTCTTTGTTATTTTGTAAAATTTAACATCTTCATCTTCCATATTGGTAATGTCAGATAAAGTTATTGGTCGACTGTGTAACGGTGCTGTTCGAGACATGTCAAATTCATCTGATGGCGGTGAAGACGGCAAATTACGTTGATGACGATATGGTGGCACGGGTGAAACACGCATCGAAGTAGTTATTGTACTTCGGCATCCCAACTGTGTAAGATTTGGTGTGGTTGTTGGCAGAACACGATGTTGATAAGTCATAGTCGTGGCCATTCTAGACTGAACAGGAAAAAGTGTTAGTTATGGGGGAGCATACTAAGACTAAAGGAGTCTATACTGATTATAAACCGTATTCTCAAGATTTACTTTTAAAAAAACAACAACTAATAGGTTAAGGCTACTCATTGGGTCGCGAAATGAATGTTTCTTTCATTATATATAATTCAAAAGCACAGAGGTTAGAAAACCTTATATTTTTTGGAAAAATGCTTGAACACTATTTGTCTGCTTCTTTTGAAAGCTTTTAAGATTGGAGAAATTACAAGTTAATGGACAAAAGTATTGAAAAATGTAACACCGTTATCTTTGAAATGAAACTCAAAAATTAAGAATTTGTAACGGAAAAAAGTGGATCAGGAAAATAATTTATTTTTAAAGACACTTACGGTTATATAATTTTGAATGGACTGTTAGAAATTTTCAAGCTCAGGGTTGCATAAAACGAAAGAAGTAAATTTTCTACTTACATATCATTTGGTTGTGTTTCATTTGTTAACGCGAAAACTTCTTCATTATTTAATTGTGAAATAGATGCTTTCATATCACATGTAGTTAACGCATTTAATTGACCCACTTCATTTTTGACCAATAAATGGGCAAATGATAGAAGTGCTGAACGACTTAGCGCTCTACCAGTGGTCATAGACGTGACAACTGCATCTAGTAAATTTTTTAAAATTTTTTTCCGTATAATTACGAAGTAGATCAGACGACAATGAAGTGTTTCGTGCTGCTGTTGATGATATTTCATCATAAATGATATCAGCATCTTCAATTTTCTCTTCGTAAGGTTGTGCGTTTTCCAATTCATTTGTCGATGGTTTATCCAACTGAGCCAGATTAACGTTGTTTGTGGAAACAGCTGTGTTGGATCTTTGTTTTCGTGATGGTGATTCGTCGTTTTCAAAATCTGTTAATTGACGAGGTGTAGACTAAAAGGGAGAAAGAAGAAAAGAAAGAAGAAAATATAATCTCTCTAAAAATTGTCTCAAATCTTCAGTGTGGGTAGTTAGCTATAGTTTCTGTGGTTTTTTCCTCGACAAAAGCGTGTTTTATCCCATGAAGTGCATTTAATCCACTTAAAAATGTTGCACTATTAGCTAATTTTTTTAAAGTTTTATGAAGTTTAACTAAAACGAGGTTACTTTGACGCTTTACAAAGAAAAGATTCTCGTTCGATCTCTAAAGGAAACAAAAAATCAGCGGCCTAGAAAACTTGTGGTGATGTATGTGTAGGAAGACGGCTTTAACTAAAAAAACGTCTGCTAATGTTCAAAGGAGGCAAAATATAGTGTACCATCAGCTTGCCTCTTGTGCAGTCAACATTTTTGAATTATCTCGCTGTTGATTATAAAAATTTAAATCTTCATTCACCGCATTTAATAACACCTTCATTATAAGAACGAGATAAAGTCGTCTGGGAATAATTTCGTTGATTAGCGTGTGATGGTTTCTTCATTCGTCTTCGATGTGTAGTGCCTGTGCTGCTATTAGAAGACAGTTGTCGGCCACCTGATGTTGATAATGACGAAAATAGTGTTGTATCAGGATAGGAAATAAAATCCATCGTATCACTCTCAGTAACATTAAAATTCTCGTCATTCTGTACTCTCAGTCGAGTAACACTACGAAAAAAGAGCAATGTAAATTTTGAGAAAAAGAGGAAAGACTTACCATCGAGCAGGTTTAGTCATTACTTCATTGAGTCTGACCATCGCTGTTTTTTCTTTAATTTTTCTATAATATTCTGTAATCACTCCATATGGTTCTTCAATAATCACTTCACGAATTAGTTTCAAATTTTTGCCGTAATTCACAGCTAAATTAGTGACAATTTCACGTTCTTCATCCGTGACTAATCGATACTGTCTTGGGACCATTAAAACACAGCACAACAGAACGAACGGCAAAGAATATTGATGAAAAATTTATAAAAAAATATCTGAAAAGACAATTTATTTAGCGAATTCGCTTAAAGTTATTATCTATTTTTAGGAAGAAATCTTAACAGTCAACTTTTGTTAAGGGAAATGGCAAATCCATATCGTCAATGGATACTACATCTCATTACTCATATGTGTACAGATACTGTAGAACTTATAAACATTCTTGCGTATCTTGTTCATTATCAAGTCGACGAAGATAGACGATTATTTTTATTATTATTCCAATGTGAACAAATTCTTCAATTACTTCCTCTTCTACCCACTTTATCCAACAATAAACTAATACTCCCCGTTGACAAATTTGAACGAACAACAATTCGTAGCTTATATGACGATTGATCTATTTTTACATGTCCACTCAACGTTTTTTAATTTTCCTTACAAAATACTACGCCTAAGACATTTTTTTGTTAAAATTAAAAGTTTATCTTCTCAAAAATCAAAAGAAAATAGAGCCTGGCAAAAGTCTTCAGTGCTAGAGTTTGGGGAGAAATGTCAGTGATACAATTAAGTGTTTTAAACGAAGAATATGTTACTATAGTAACAGAAACTTGCTCACCTTCACTTGGACCGAAGAAAAAAAGGAAAGTATCCAAATACGGTCTATCAATCTGCGCAGAATGTCCTTTATGAACGTCCGCTGAACTTGAGAGAATTGGTTTTTGGCTAGTAATGTTCCATCGGATCTCGTTAGTCACTTTAAAAGTCAACATAAACATGAATTTTTCCATTAGTATCTGAAAAGAGACGCTTATCAATTTCGAATAGTAGAAGATAATAGAAAATACTCATTGTCTCCTACAGCAAAGCTAACGCTTCTTTTTTGATTAAAAGTGTTTTACGTACTTTTACCGAAACGTAGCTGACAAAGATGTGAGAAACAAGTTTATTTCAGCACACGACAAGACGAAAGGACAACGGATAAATAAGAAAGGAAAACAGAACGAAAAATTTCTCTTCTTCTTTTCCGAATGTCTCCTAATGTTCACATTCGGATATGGATATGTGACATACAGAAAAAGAAAAAGAAGACTTACGCGCTAGAATTCTATTCTTGAACCAAAGCGACCATGCTTGCCTTTTCTTTAACTTTATCTGTAGAAGTGTTATCACATCCAAATTTCAATACTTTCATTTGCAGAAAGAGTGCAAACAAAATTATTCTTTCGATATTTCAACCTGTTAGTACTTTGTCTAACTAGTGTTTTTTAACAAGACGACGTCCAATCTTCCTGAAACGAAAATTCAGGTATTTCAGATATTGAAAGCTGTCAACAATTAAACAGACTGATTCATTAAATGTTTTACTAGGAACCGATAACTGTAAACCAGTGATATTAGGGAGCACATTTGATAATGTGTATAATTGATTCATGAACGGTTATGTCGTTTGATGTAGCCATGTGTAAATCTTTGATCTGATTCATCCATAGCTTCTAGCGAACAATATTGTTGAGTAATTGCTGAATTACGGGATAGGATATGCACAAACATGTTATAATTGGACATTTGAGTAATAAACTATTGAAAAACGCTAATGATAAATCATCGTTTTTTAGGCTAAAAACCCATAAATCGCGTTACTTCGGCAAAGCCGGAGGTATGAGGGCTGCTGGGTTATCTGCATACTTTCACAAGCTGAAAACCGCAGCTCTCTATCTCTTTTCTAGAAAATTTGAAAAGAAAATGGTAGAGTACATTCTTTTTTGAAATGGATAGTAGTTGACTAACAAAAAGACATCAAGAAAAATAAGATATTAAAGACAACTTAGACTAAACAACGACAACAAACGTTTGTACACTTGTGCGAAAGTAATTCAATATGCACTTTTAAATAAAAATGACAAGGGGAGAGAAAGAGAAGGTAGCGCTCGGCTTTTATCAATCTCTTTCTGTAAAGTAGAAAATGATTCCAAATTACAGTGTAGGTGATAACTCATATTTTTCTGTTCTTGATATAAATTTTATTTAATACGAA